TGCTACTAAAGTGATCCCAAATAAGTGGGATTATTGACAATTAAAATAAATTGATATGGGAAAATTAAAATCTGTCAAAGCTGAGTGGAGCACTCATTGTTCCAGTGAATCTATGAAAAGAATTTTCACACGTTTCATTTAAACGTAATAATTTTTCTGGAACAAAACACTTGTATTTCACCTTTCCCACAGACATTAAAAAGGAATGCTCTAAAAGTAATTCAACATAAATAATCTGTTAGCAAAGTATCGTTTATAGAGTCAAACTTCACCCAAAAATATAGAGGCTATTGTAACATCATTGAAAGCCAGCTTTTAAAATGTATCGCTCAATGATTTAGTATGTGGTTCTAAAAAAAATGGTGTTTTTAAACATTCAAAATAAAACATTGGTAAACAGCAGGAAGCCATATTAAGATTTATAATTAATCCAAACAAAAAAAAAGGTGAAACTCTAAAAACATGTTAATGAAATGACAAATTAAGAGATACTCTCTCTCTCACTTTCTCAGTTAATCTTTAATAGTTTAATAATTAGACCAATTAACACTAACAATCAATCATGAATAATGGTTAAGGCCCAATCATATTTTTAAGAAGCAATGCTAAAATTATTGATAGATTATACCTACAAAATAAACTTAAAGTAATTTTCCCATTCTGGGATCACATCAGCAGTAAAATTTATCAAAAAATTCAGGACTTAATAAAGTGATTAGGCGGTTAGGCAAATTACTGGTTGTGTATTTTTACAAATAAATACAGCAAGTATTTGAACATGAATTCCTACAAGTGCAAGTGAATGCAAAATTGGATAATATACATCAAATCAGCATCAATAAATACAAAACATAAATTAAAAAAACAAAACATTTAGACTTTGATAAACTATAATCACATTAAAAGAAACAATTTATGAGCTTGACAAAGGTCAGCAGGAATATAAGTTCTTAATTAATACATAACAGTGGTTCCAAAAACCTTGTAATGGGTGTCATCCCCAATGAAGAACTATTGTATGATGGAAATGCAGGGGTGTCAAAATGTAAAATGAAACTTTGGGGTTAAGATCACATTGGTTCTTATGATTATGACCAAAAAATTCTCTTGTGATGTCAAAGTAGTTGCTCCAGGAACTGACAGCAATATCCTGTTAATGAGCTCATTTGTTTTGTTTTTTAAAATTAAAAAGAACACACAAACTTGTGCCCCTTCTAATGTGGACAATATAAACAATCAAATCTGAGTAAATAAAATGTGTGCAATCTCTTCACACAGAGTAAATGAAACAGTAAATTAAGAAATGATGATCAACATTTATTTGCACATGATCTTACTATCAAGTCAGCTGTGTAGGTTTCTTTCTATAAAAACAAACGAGTCTCTCTATAAAAACAAACAAGTTAAAATTTTTCTAAAAAGTTTCAACAACAGAACATGAATAATTGTGATGCGGTTGACATAAAATAAGAGTGGTCAAGGGCTAATTAAAATTTGACCTACTATCATCTCAGCAAGCTTTTCTGACACAAATTTCTTGTTAATTAATATTAAAAATTTACTTTAAAAAAAGGGCTAGATATAAAATTGACTAAATAATGTTTTTGAGCTACCAGCACTAGTACGATTGAGTGTAAATCTATTAGCAAAGTCAATTTTGTAATGTAATAAAGTGGAATATGTCTTTAGTTACTGTAAATAACAGATAATATATTAATAATTTTATATGGATGATATGGAAAGATTCATGATATACACAAGGCACTGTATAGAAGACTATCAAATCATTTCAAGGCACTGTATATAAGACTATCATTTCAACATTTTTTGTACATTAAAAAACACAAGACTGAATAAGGTAAATTTTTCAAATTTAAAAAAAAAAAGATATGGACTGTAATTTGGGTTATTTTAAATGAAATCTATTTGAGCAGAATTGGAATAGAATGCAGAGCCTAATTTGATGGAATCTATTTGAGCAGAATTGGAATAGAATGCAGAGCCTAATTTGATGGAATCTATTTGAGCAGAATTGGAATAGAATGCAGAGCCTAATTTGATGGAATCTATTTGAGCAGAATTGGAATAGAATGCAGAGCCTAATTTGATGGAATCTATTTGAGCAGAATTGGAATAGAATGCAGAGCCTAATTTGATGGAATCTATTTGAGCAGAATTGGAATAGAATGCAGAGCCTAATTTGATGGAATCTATTTGAGCAGAATTGGAATAGAATGCAGAGCCTAATTTGATGGAATCTATTTGAGCAGAATTGGAATAGAATGCAGAGCCTAATTTGATGGAATCTATTTGAGCAGAATTGGAATAGAATGTAGAGCCTAATTTGATGGAATCTATTTGAGCAGAATTGGAATAGAATGCAGAGCCTAATTTGATGGAATCTATTTGAGCAGAATTGGAATAGAATGTAGAGCCTAATTTGATGGAATCTATTTGAGCAGAATTGGAATAGAATGCAGAGCCTAATTTGATGGAATCTATTTGAGCAGAATTGGAATAGAATGTAGAGCCGCCTAATTTAGCTGTTCTTGTTTCATTTCCCAAGAAGATTTTTATAAAAGACCTTTACCATACATAGAGAAAACTATTTTTTTTAAAGATATCTGTGGACATAAAAATGACCTGTTCACAAGGCCAGACCAAATGTTTACAGGCCAAGCTTTGTTTAAGTTAAGAAAATGGGCAGCACAACAAAATTTTTTTAATGCTTATCAGAAAATGATTTTTTGATGATGCAAAAAAATAAAAATAAAAGTAGCTTATAACAACATAACATGGCTTAGAAAACAAAGGATGTGAGATGACAAACTGGCAGTTGAACACACTGAAATATTGCTTGCCTACTTACCTCAAAGGTCACAGAGAATTCTAGACTCCCTGTAACCATCAAACATTTATTAGAGCTCATGCAGAAATTTAACAAATAACAAAATGATTTTGTTAACATTTCCCCTGCTTAAACAAACTCAAATAATTCTATAGAGAAAACAATTTAACAAATTAATATTTTATACACTTCAACATAAGGTACAATTTTTTAATTTTTTTTTTAAATGATGAAAGTAAGACTAACATTTGATATGCTATTAAATAAATAAGTTTATTAAAAAAAATTCTTTAACAGTTCTTGGCTGTGGCTGCTGAATGAATTTATTTTTCTTAATTGTCCTGTTAAGAATTAGTCATTACCCATGAATAGTTTGTAATTAAGCATGCCTACTATTTTAAATATAAGAACAAGATATACCATTTCTTTCTTTCTCGCAGCGCTTTCATTTCCAAGTTAAAAAGAGTGTTCATTTTTTTACAGGTATTTACAGCAGTGAAATAACTTATGAGTGAATTGACTAGCGGTCCATACAGCCAAGATTTTAAATATTTTTTAAAGAGGATTTCATAGATGAAATCTCATCAGATTGTTCATGAGTTATTAGAATCCAATACGATCAACAACAAAAAAAATCTAACATATGAAATATTACATGATTAATTTATGGTCATCATTAAAAAAAATAATTAAAAAATGTGAAAATATATATCAATTTCCAAGAAACAATTTTAATTGAAAGTTCTAGAATAGATGAAAGATTCAAGACAAGCAAACAATCAGGTTGTTACCATTCTTGGTCAAGTTGTTTTTTCAATCAATTTAATTGCTATTTCATAAGGTAAGCTCTAGAGTGGAATACACTCAATTACATTCTTACACCTAGCAGTTTCACTTAAAAGATATCTTAAATTAATAGTCTGTGGCCATTTGCTTAATTTGTTAGTTAATAGTGTTATTTTGACAACTTCTTAAAACTGATCTTTACACAATTGTCCCTTCAATGCTCTTTTAGGAAAGTAATCTGCCATTGGTAATAGCTTTCAGGAGTGTTACCCATTTATAAGTCATCTATCACATCAGACATTAGTAATTTAAATTAAAAAAACAAAGTATTTGTAAACAACACGTGGTCAACAAACTGACCACAATCCCACCGATATTCCGTTCTGCTTCTTTGAAAAGTTTAAGCATTATTTTCTGCGAAACAAAATTTTGTTGTGAATGAACAATGAAAAAGAAAATCATTTCTTGAATCATAATAAAAGTGCTGAAGGCAAGATGTTTGAAAGATGGGTGAAACTGTCAAATGCAAGAGTTTGAAAAACATAAAGGGTGCATTAGCATGGGGTATGCTGTGGTGCTACAAAATAAACCTCACATTACAAAATAAAAACTAAAACAAAACCAGATTTGCGAAACAAAAAGCTAGAACTAATGTGTGCACTGGATTAATACAGCCAAATATTCTGATGAAACTAATTTTTTTTTTAAATTTAAACAAAACAAACATCGGAACATTGGAACATTGGTTGTTTTTAATGAAGGAATCACAATGTAGCAAAAAAATTTTTTTTAATTGTTTTTTTTTTGTAAAGATAGATTTGCGTTTCTTTTGCTTTCTTTTGAATATTTATGTCAGTTGTCAGCTTTACATTTTTATAAATAAGAATATAATAAAGATAAAATTGTGAAACAGAGGAAATGGAACTAATACTGTTGACAACTCAAAATACCACCACCAGATTGATGCAGTAGGAGACAGGTGAAGCTGGCATAATGACAGGAGATTTAGGCACGCCATTGTCAGTTCTATGACACCAGACTTAGCACACCATTGTCATTTCTATGACAGCAGACTTAGCATGCCAAGCCAATATCATTTCTATAACAGGAGATATAGCATGTCATTATCAGTTCTATGACAGGAAATATAGCATGTCATTGTAAACTCTATTATAAGTAAATATTGTGCTGATTAAGTTTGGATTTGATATATCACAAAGTACACTATATATTTTTTGTTAAAAAAAAAAAATCACAAAATTCAATCACATTAAAATATTTATGTAACAATGTTACAATGAATTGGGGGGGGGGGGGGGGAGGGGGGGNGGGGGGGGGGGGAGAGAGGAGGAAGAAAGGGGTGGGAGGAGGAAGAAAAAGGGGGGGGAGGAGGTTTAGTTAAAAAATTGTCTAAACACAAAACAAAAATGAAATATTTTAAGTCAACAAATTGTTTTGAAATTTGCAAAGGATTCAGTCTTCATCTCTTGAACTGCTACTGCACAGGAACAGGACAGTTTGATGGGACTAGGACACCTTGCTGCTGATAGACTGGGTTGTAGGGGTAGGCGGGGCTTACCATGTATACCACATGAGGGTTTGGGGCTGGCTGACCTGCAGGAGGAGATGGGTAAACATACATGTAATGATTGGAAGATCCCACTGGGTAGGCTCCAGGAGGCGGAGCACCATGGTTAGAAGGGGGGGGTAGCTGGTGGACAGAACCGTTCAAATGGGGGGCAGGGGCTTGTGTTGGTGGCTGCACAGAGATGTATGTAGGGGTGCTGTAATGAGAAACCATGTTGTGGTGTGTGGGAGGAGCCATAGAACTGGGAGGCAAAGTTGGCTGGGTCTGGAGGTTTGGAGGAGGGACATTCAAAAGGCCCAGCGGTTTGCTAGGAACCTGAGAGGTCTGCATATTGTAGGTTTCAATATGGTGATCAGCATACATGGCTGTTGTTTTCGGCTGGCAACTGTTGGTTGCTACTGATCTCACTAACTGATTACATGTTTGGGATAAAGGGGAGGTGCTTGATGAAATGATGTCAAGAGGAGGCGGGGGCAAATTTGGGGGAGGCGGGAAAGGAGGCGGCATGCTTATTGTACGGACCTGAGGGGAAGGGGGAGCAGTCTGACCTGCTGTGGCCTGGGTGGAGTGTGACGAATAGACTATAATCGTCTGACAGTTTTGTGTGCTGGTAGAGTGGGAGGAGCCTGATACAGCTGGCACAAATAAGGGAGGAGCTTGCGCAGCATGCGTGCATGTTGGATGGTTAGATTGATTAGGCGCGACATTGTTAGTGTAGCCAGAAGCATAACATTCAGGGACATAAGCGGTTGTCATGCCAGACTCAACGCAACCACCACCATCCTGAGTAGGGAAAAAGCAAGAAGCATTAGCATTAAGCTGGGCTTGTGAGTTATCATTAGTCTGATAGTATACAATGTCATAGATGGGCTGCTGGGCTTGGGGAGAGTGCTGCATGTAGATCGGCTGACCCTCACATCTCGCCTTTGCGGCACTGGTCTCTGCCAATAACATTTGGAACCGGAGCGGAATCTCCTTGATGGGCTTAACAAGTTTATGATTGCCGTACATATAGTAGCGACGTTTACCCCGGGGTTTGCCACTGTCGGTAGAGGTTTGTTCCAGTAAAGATGTGGAGTCCCCAGTCTCAGACTGAGTCAACTCAGATGCAGTGAATGAATCAGGACCGCTGACTGGGGACAGATCGGCACATTCACTTGGGCAGCCGCTGTCCCCATCGCTACCAACATCCATTCCCTCACTTACATCATCGTCCTCATCATTCTCCTTAGACTGGGAGTCTTTCCCACAATCTCCTAGGGACTCCTCACAATTCACTTTATCTACATTATTTTCCTGGCTAACATTAATGTTAGCACTTTTACCAATACTGAACTGATCAGTGATGCATGCTCGGCTGTTTGCGATATTCCTAGTGTTATTTTTGTCAGAAGCAAAAGAATTATTATTGTTGGCTGAGTAGTCCTGAGAGTTTTTGACTGAACGAGCGGCAGAGCAGGGATTGGTGTCAGCATGACCCGTGCCGCAAGTTTTAGAAACAACCATCTCACCACCACTCACTGGAGATAAGTTGTCGTATCCAGTGTTGACACATTCATAGCAGCCGCCACCACCAACATACGTATCAGCACACACCACAGGGGGGCCCATGCTTGCAAAGTTGCCGCAGTTCTCCATCATGACAGCACCAGATGGTACATGTGATCCCATTTCAGGGTTGTTCATTCGATAATACTGAGGATGAGAAGAACATGAAATGTCCAAAATCAAAACATATATCTTTTCAAAGATGAGATTTGGAAGTCAAGAAGTCTCCATTTTTGGACCATTTAAGAACAACAGATGGAATACAATTTACAGCTTGAATTTGTTACTGAAAATTTTTTATTTAATAACTAAAAACGTTTAAGTTGGTTTTTGAATGGTAAAGAGCTTCAAAACAAGGGGAGACAAACAAAACTTTCAACGAAAATTTCTCTTCATTTAATTGTTATCTCACTATTATTAATCATTTTGACATTATTTTTAAAAAAACTTTCAAGTTATATGACATTAAACTCTTAGAACCCAAGAAAATTATCATTGAGCCAGACAAGAACAAAATAATTTCCAGGCTGCCCTTTGTGATAAAAGGGTTGGCTATCCCTGGGATAGACTCAGGCTGCCCTCTGTGATAAAAGGGTTGGCCATCCCTGGGATAGACTCAGGCTGCCCTCTGTGATAAAAGGGTTGGCCATCCCTGGGATATTCTCAGGCTGCCCTCTGTGATAAAAGGGTTGGCCATCCCTGGGATAGACTCAGGGAACTGTCCTTTAATCACAAGGACTGATATTTTCTAGCCCCACCGAAGTCCACTGTTTAACACAGCATAATGGTAATCACTTTCTTTGGACACACGGGGAGAAGAAAAAAACTTTTGTCAAAGCCTCTGTCATAAATAAACCTGTCAGTTATTTTCACTTTTGCCTTAGTTTAAATATAGAAAATATATTAATATAATAACTTTTGAAAATACTTCCAATTATTAAAAGTAAAGTTTAAAAAAAAAATTTAAAATAATTATTTTTGTGTTATTTCAATAACAATGAGATGCTAACAGAAATAACTTCATTCTGTTATTTTTTGCTTTACAAAGATCTTATTAATTCCTTTATAATTTAAGATAATCTCAGGATAAAAGCTCTTGAGAAGGCCAAGTAATACACTGCTATGAATTTATTGACATTTTGTGCTAACTGGAGTGGAACAAAACTTAACACAAACTCTGTGAACATAAAAACATTTAATATATTTGCCAGGGAGGTATAGGGATAATCTAGTTATTGCCAGGGAGGTATAGGGATAATCTTGTTATTGCCAGGGAGGTATAGCGATAATCTGGTTAAACAATAAATGAGGAACTTTAATGTGACTACCACAATTTATATGCTTGCCCCTTTTAATGTGACTACCATAATTTATATGCTTGCCCCTTTGTGGTCCTCTCTGTGAGTAAATAAAAAACCATCCTCATTCACTCTTACGTGTATTGAAATAATAAATTTAATTTCAAACTATAAGTGGACATTCATGTCGCAACAAAACAATACAACCCACCTTATGTCCTACCAGAAAATAATTCACAGCTATCAAACAAAGTCAAACAGTGCAGCTTAAGACAAAGTTAAAATGGTGTCTTGCTACACCACCATTACTTCAAAACCGTCTTTCAAATGTTCACTTGTCCTACTACACCCCTAACCCCCCAAACCCCCAACCCATCACACCCCACACCAAGTAAAATGTCAACCACCTGACTCCATTTTTATAGAAGCCCATTAATGTCAATCAAGATTTATATTGAAAGCCAGAAATCAATAGACAGCTAGAGGGGGCCCTTGAACACAAACCCCCTAAAGGGAGGCCACAGGCACAAAAAAGCCTTTCAAACTTTCAAAAGATAAAAGGAAAGAAGACAAGATCCATCTAGAAAATCATTACGTTAACCAATAATGACCATCATTAAAACATCATTTCCCTTTTTATAAATATGGATCAATCCTGTCGTTTTACAGATAAAAAAAAGTAATTTTTCTAACATAAGTTAGTACTTGGATATATGTGGATAAGAAATGTGTAGATCAAACACAGATGTGAACTTGACACATTTGAAATAGACAGGGCTGTGAAAAGGATTTTTGGGCCCGATAAATCACAAATGTAAATGTTAAAAAAAAATTATAAAAAATCCCGCCCTTGGGGACCCCCATGTGGACGGGCCCCCAAAGTGATTTAATTGGTTGCCTCTGACCCTGCATGGGAATGGGACTAGATATATATGTAAATCATACATATAGTAAAATATAGTAACTTACCTCGACACCTGGATTGGAGGAAAAAAACGTTTGGCATTCATGTCTGCAGATAAAGACACAAAAAAGACCAAAAAGTACAAAAATAAACAGTTTTGGTTTAGAGATTAAATACAGCTCATACTTTTTTATACTTCTTTAGACATGATGAAACTTTTCTACAAACAGGAAAGATAGACAAAGACCTGATCTCTTTCAATACTTTGTAGTTATTGATGTGCAGTGCAAGTAAGATAGTAGACACAGACCTCATCTCTTTCAATACTTTGTAGTTATTGATGTGCAGTGCAAGTAAGATAGACACAGACCTCATCTCTTTCAATACTTTGTAGTTATTGATGTGCAGTGCAAGTAAGATAGACACAGACCTCATCTCTTTCAATACTTTGTAGTTATTGATGTGCAGTGCAAGTGCTATCAATGCACCACCATTATCAATAATGTACACACAATAGAAGTGCTAACCGTGTTTGAAATAATATATGTACATTATAAGTGCTATCAGATGTCGTACATTAAAAGTGGTATCCGTTGTGCCTAGGGCCAGTTTGATCTCTAATTGTTTTCTTTATGACTACATGAAGCTCCCACTTAAGAAGGAGACAAATCGACATACACATTTTGACAGAAGCCTTCGGCTATAGTTTTAATAATGTTTCAGTTTAACTATTAAGGAGACAAATCGACATACACATTTTGACAGAAGCCTTTCGGCTATAGTTTTAGTAATAACTATTATTTGAACAGGTGACATGCCCAAAAATAATATTGATTATTTGTCAAACTGACCCCAACAATATACAGCTGGCAACATCAGAGTGGTCTATACAGTTATTTCATACATAACTTTCAGTTGACCCAGTTAGCAGAAATGGATATTTCACAACATTTGCCCACTTATAATTTGAGTATAAATATACATCATATCCACATTCATTCAATGATTTACTATATATGACATCCACGTCTGATAAATGGCTTACTATATATGATATCCACGTCTGATAAATGGCTTACTATATATGACATCCACGTCTGATAAATGGCTTACTATATATGACATCCACATCTGATAAATGGCTTACTATATACGACATCCAAATCTGATAAATGGCTTACTATATACGACATCCACATCTGATAAATGGCTTACTATATATGACATCCACATCTGATAAATGGCTTACTATATATGACATCCACATCTGATAAATGGCTACTATATATGAGATCCATGTCTGGTTAATGGCTTACTATATATGATATCCACATCCATTCAATGGCTTACTAAGCATGCTCAAAACAAATTTCAAAACTTGAAATTCTTCTGATTTAGTTTATGTACTTTACACACAAAAATTCACTCAGGAAAATTACAGTCATGTCTAAATGAAATCTTCATATCTTTATTAAATCTTCATATCTTTATTAAATCTTCATATCTTTATTAAATCTTCATATCTTTATTAAATCTTCATATCTTTATTAAATCTTCATATCTTAAACAACAGCCCAGAAATGTAGTAATATTAACTTGCATTATGTATTTGTGTATTTGATACAATTTTAAGCAAACAGAATTATTAATCTGCAACACACAAAAAGTGCCCACCTGAATGAGGGATGTCTCGGCCATAAGGATCTTGTGATGGTGACCAACCCAAATTGACCTGTCCCATATTAGCTGCATACGGCACAGCAACCACGGGCATCCAGTACATCGGGGCCTGGTTGGTTTGTGGTCCAGCACTCATCATGTAGTACGGCTGAGCTGGGTCAACTGTTGCTATGATCTGGCCAGGGTCTCCTTGAGGCCCAACACAGCTGTAGACAGGTGGACAGTATTTACTTGTTTGCTCCACGATATTCCTGAAACATCAACAGTTTTTCATAGTTTTAAGATTTAAAAAAAATATATTATTGGTAAAAGCTAAGTTTTGCTGAAAAGATGATTCTAAAATAAAAGAAATCTTTTGTTTCCTCTAATAAATAAGGCAGGTGTCGATGTTTAACCATTTAAATTGTGCCATACTCATTGTGCCATACTCACACATTATTTATAACGACATGCTGAAACTCAAATTAGTACATTGACAGAAATGCTAGACATTAATTAAACTTAGAAATAAAATAAAAAAGATTGTGCAAAAAGGAATTGAAGGGTTCAAGGGAAAAATCAGTGATGTCAGTTTTTCAAAATTTCTATGTTATCTCCCTTGTGGCTACATTCCACTTAATAGAATAATATGATACATAGGTCCAACTGAAAAAGCAGCGCAGTCAATAAATAAATACGTAGACATCTTGATATTTTCATACTTTTATGAGGAATTTTCAAACTTTAAATTCAATTTTCTCCAAACTCTCAAAACCTGACATCACTGGTTTTTCCCTTGAGCCCTTTAATTGCATTCACCGCCTATTATTAGCATCAATTCAATTCAAACTCTCGGTCCTCATTCAAGAAGGGAAAGCGTTACTAAAATCAATTTACCAAAATGAATTACTTCCCTTGTGACAACTGTACAGTTGACTACATATTTACACACCGTATTGTGTACTTCTGATTTCTAAGGGTTAAACTACACAGGCAATTCTCCCTAAACCAAGTTTCGTTTCTACCATTCTGAGAGCCTACAAGATTCAAGGATTTAGTCTCAAGATAGAAAATGGGTTAACGTGGTTTCCCAAGATTTCTCACATCAAAAAACCAAAACACAGACAGACATAGAATAGATTGCTCACAACACAGACAGACATAGAATAGATTGCTCACAACACAGACATAGAATAGATTGCTCACAACACAGACATAGAATAGATTGCTCACAACACAGCCATAGAATAGATTGCTCACAACACAGACATAGAATAGATTGCTCACAACACAGACAGACATAGAATAGATTGCTCACAACACAGCCATAGAATAGATTGCTCACAACACAGCCATAGAATAGATTGCTCACAACACAGCCATAGAATAGATTGCTCACAACACAGACATAGAATAGATTGCTCACAACACAGCCATAGAATAGATTGCTCACAACACAGACATAGAATAGATTGCTCACAACACAGCCATAGAATAGATTGCTCACAACACAGACATAGAATAGATTGCTTTCTGCTTGACTTGGTGCAAGCCATTGGTCCACTCCCAGGCATTCGAGTCCCAGTTTGTTAAAACAGTGTCCACGAAGCAAAGACTTACCCTTGATTTTGAGCCCCGTTCCTTGGGTCAATGTAAGGTCCAACATACATATGAGGCGGGTAAGTGGTGTATGGCCCCGGACCAGCGGCTAGAGAACCTTGCGATACCACATTAGGCGTCGCTGTCGACGACGCCGGAGGCAGGTACAAGCAGGCGGTGGCAGCGCTGCTGTTGTAGAAGCTGCTGTTGTCGAAGCCGGGATTCTGATGGCTCCCGGCGCTGCTGTTGCTGTTGGTGCTTGTGTTGATGTCGCTGACGGTGTTATAGTTTCCGCTGCTACAGCTTGAGCTCCTACGGGAACGGTAGCTGGCTGCGGGAGCTTTGCTGGGCTCTTCAGTGAGCACTGGAATCAAAGGTTGTGGCTGTATGCATGGAAAGGAGATTAAGTGAAAGTCCTTCACGGGGCACACTCGTATGTAGCTATGATAACATCGTTTCAACTTGGACTCAGTAGGTGGGAAAGAAGGGTGGGTGGGGGAGGGGGAGGGGGTATCTGGGAATTTTAAAAAGTGTGTGTGTGTGTGGGGGCGGGGGAGGTCCAAAATTCTGTCCAAAATAAATTTAATTGAAAACTATTTCCTCCTACGTAAAAAGCAATCTTGAGGTTAATTTTTTGTTCCCATAAGAGATTACTTGACTAGAATGTTTGGGATAATCTCAGCACCAAAGGTTTATGAGATGTCTTAGTATCTTGGGCATCTAGGGTTTACCACAAGAACTCGAACTTTAATATAAGCTTAGTATAGCAAAGCTTTATGGGGAAATAATACTGTATTATGTTGATAGCAGTGCAGCTTAAGAGAAACTAGGAGTCAACCAGGGAATCTTTTAAGCACGTCACAGGCAAATCTTAAATGACAAAGACGAGGGGAATGACTCAAGCGGTAGTCAATTTTTAAATAGCTCTTATTGAAGTTTAAAGAGAAATGACATCCAAAGAAAGCATTGTGACAAGACACTGACAACGAATCGTAGTGACATGACACTGACAACGAATCGTAGTGAAATAAAACTGATGAAATATAAAAACCAATTATATTTTCTAGCACTGATAATTAAAGTGATATATATGCTTTGATCTCGTTTTAGAATATTTCGGTGAGTCTCAAATTATTGAAATAACTCTTTGTGAAACCGCAATTAATTAACAAAATAAGATTTAAAATTCTCGAGTAAACGATTAAAAAATATGTCATTTTTCTAGAAGGAGAAGTCATCCCAATAATTAAATCGCTTGAGTACATTAAACCATCTTATCTTATTGCCGGCGACCACACACTGTGTCTATAAAGAGCACAGACTGTGGTCTATAAAGACATAAAACACATCTGAAAACTGGTCGGTTTATTAAGAACGGTGTTAATGTTTTAAGAGGTAAAATCAATTCTAGACGGATAGCGTTAAAAAGGGTATTAGGATTGCACGTGGGTGTGATCTATTTGAAACTGTTCCCACGGAAACTACTTGAGAGCCATCGACGGTGACATTGGTACAATAGCGCTTAAATATTGACCCACTAAAGTTCATTCAGCCATGGCTTCAAACTACAGCAGGGGTTTTCAAACTTTTACGACAAGGGCTCGTTCGCAACTTACGTCTACCTGAGGGGGGGGGGGTAGGGGGTGTCGAGAATTTGTGACAGGGGGAGGATTGAGTGCAAACAAAAAAAAAATTGTGAAGTCACAATAAAAAAAAATATATAAATTTCTTTAATTTTAAAAATTTTTATTCAATTAATTAAAAAAAAAACCAATTAAATTTGGGTC